GAAAACAAGCCAGCCACATAAACCAGTTAATTCACATAAAAAGACTTGAACTGCTAGATAAAAGGCAACTCTTTCTTATGCTGACATCAAATACAGCTGATCTAAACAAATAGCTCGGAAGGGATACAGCACCAGCCAATCAGCCATGCGCCTACTAATAGCCCTAGACTTAAATTCAACGAAGGATTTAAAAGCAGCTAAGGCTAGGCTTTTATAACCTAGACTTGAAAATGCTGCTCAAAAAACTACAAAGGAGGAAAAAATTCTTACCGTTACCAATTCAACAGGATATTTCTGCACTTCATCTGATTTCCCTTTACCCTTTAACATATGCTTTGGACTGCTTGTTGCTTTCACTCGCAAGGCCTGGAATGTCGTGTGCCAACATCTCTCCTCTCTAGTTACGTCTTCTTGATTGTCAAACCACCATCTGTCAGCCGTTTCTTGCACACCTTCAAGAGGAAATAACCAGTCCTTTAACTCTATTGACACATCAACATCATCTGGCATCCCTAAGTGCAAGAAACCACTATCTTTCTCACCCTCCAAATTTCCACCTGGAAGTAAATGTAAGACAGGTGAAGCTTAAGTTAAATAGTAAAAATGAAAAGAAAAGCTTAACTGCATGAACATATAGAAGAGCAACCAGTTAAGGAAAATTTCATATTAGTGCTAGCTTTATACCCTTTGCTAAATCATCGATGAGAGCAGATGGCTTCAAAAGTTTAGCCAGTGGCCCAGCTGATATATTTTCCAACCCTTTGGAGAGTTCCTCACCAGGACCACCATCAAGCCCAAGTATTCCAAATCGATGCAGCAAAGCCTCCGTATAATTCATTCCTCCACCTAAGCGAACACCTGAAATACTAGCTGACACCATTAAACTATGACACTCTTTGTCCTGTTCGTTGAAGGGAATGACATTTACAATGCCTGAGAAAAGGAATCACAAAAGCTTTTCCATTTGATTGATGCTTCTTTTTGTTATCAACCCAAAAGACAGCTTTAAGGGGAGGATATCCATTCAAAGTGACAAGAGAACCATTTTCAACTGAATCTAACATTGTTCGATTCTCATTTACCAGGTTTCCCCCATTGTCTAAACAGTCCACCTCAATCCTCTCCCAAAACAAAGTGGATGAAACAGCAATAGCCCCACCAAGAGTTCTATGAGTAACTTCAATGAACAGATCTCTCCCAATAAACTGAACCAGAGGCATTTCATGGATATTGAAGGAGGAGGATGATTCCAGAAATCTAAGCTGGAGATCGTTTACCGTTAAACTTACAGCAGTATCACTAGGAACCTTCCCCATCAAACTTTGACACTGAGTCATTTTTATCCATCTTAGGTCTTTTACTCTTTCCAACTATGGCAATGTTTTCACTAACCTTACCAAAGTATGTATAGAGATCCAAGACAAAAAATAACTGCTCAACAGAACTATTGGATAAATATTGGTGACAAGCAACCCCTGCTCTGACAACACCGCCAGGAGGAGGAACAATTCTTAATGGATTCCCATCAGCAGATACCATAGCTACGTCAACAGAAGAATCTTTAACCTCGACACACCTCCACAAGCCTGAAGTACAGCCAGCATAACTCTGAAGTCCAGTTAAGCTAGCAGATGTTTCCAAATACAAACTAAGTTGTGATGCTCCAGCTGTCCATTTCTTCTGGCTAGCGTCAATTGGTTGACCCTCCCAGAGACAGAAGCAAGCAGGATCTTTCTCCAGGTTCAGTAGCTTGAGTTTTAGTGAAGGTGACTCAGAGAAAAACAATTTTTCAATATGAAGTCTAGCTCCAGCAAAGGACTTTTCAACAGTAAGGTTCCTTTTGCTACTAGGATTATCCAGTTTAGTTGTGTCTAGAGGAACACTAATGTCCAAGTCCTTGAGAGTAAATACAAGGGAATTAACTGAAGAATCAGGTAAAACGACGCCAGGATTTACAACTATTCCATCAGCTAAGAAAGAGGATATCCTTAAACAAGATTGTTCCTGAAGATGAATCTGAACAAAAAATGGAGAATGAGAATAGGAATAAAAAAGTAGCATAATTTGAGAAAGAAGTAAGCATTCACCAAAACAGAATACCATAAGTGGCTGGCATTCAATCACTGTTTGTGATGCAAAGGAAGGTGGGAATGGAGAGGGCTTCACTTGAAGAGAGTGAATGCATATTAAAGGAACACCCATAATTAGTTGCCACTTCTGCTCACCTAGTGGATATATTGGAGGGCAGAAATTCTTACCTGCTCAAACACAAAAAGAAGAATGGAGCATGATTAGCTAACTAGACTTATGAGCATGATTAACCTTTAACATGAAAGCTTAAAGGAGGGGGAAAAAAAAACCTTTTAACATATCATAAATAATTTAACATACCAAAATCAGGAATATTCACACAAGAATCCGTGACAGCTTCCATGGATGGTTGTACTAAAGTACACGGAGGGCGTGAGAAGGTATCCCTGCAGTACAAATATTTAAAACAAAATTACACCATAACATACTAAAGTTGAGTTGCCTGTGTGTCTGCAACAAACAATAAAATGAAAAGCTACAAGTGCACAACACAAACAAGCTACTTTGTAACAAAAGTAAACTACTTGATCACCAGCTAATTCTATCATAATGAATGACAAGAAATACCGTGTGCCTAAATGTTTAAACCTAGTCTTGTATCCAATAAATTGTACTTAATCTCAACCACACTTTAAATCCCCGATAAAGTTTACAAAGTTGTGTATATAAACCTAGATCCTTGGTATGTGAAAAACAATGAAGATTACCTTAAAAAGAACCCACCAATCATAACCTTAGACAAGAAACTAGTAATTTCTCCATCAGAGACACTAGCCTGCAGGAAGTTTTAAAAAATGGCTTGAAGATTCTCATTAGCATCGTAACACAAATGCAAGAAAATTTTAGAAAAAGACATATTGAAAGATCCAGAGCCACAAATATTCCTGACCAGGAATGCAAGATATTATCATTAACAAGTTGAATATCAGACATTGAGGGAAAATACCCGTGAAAAACAGAGTGACTGCATCAAAAGTTCGAGCTGGAATTCTGCAAGAATTTGAAACTCTTTGAAATGTTCTTATTCTTAATGAAAAGGATGTGATATAAGATGTTACCTTAGAATTGCTTTAATCATAAAACTACTACTTCAATTACATATCTGAATAATAAGGAAAAGAGAGAAAGCAAATGCAACAGAACACAATAGAATGACACAAACCAGCATCTTTAATGCAGAGAAAAATGTGGTCCACAATAATAGAAACCAGAGAACGTCCCGCTGCTCAGCAGATCGCTGTTGGATCACAGTCAAAGCAGGAGAGGGATTGGTAAGATCTTTCCAGAACAAGTTAACAAGACAATACTGTAAATATAAAAATGAGTTACAATGAGACAATTTAAAACCTGTTGGGCCTTTGGATCTACATCTCCTCTATTTAGACAAAGATACAATCCTGTAAAGAAGCGGAGAAGAGTTCGAAGTCCTGCTCAAATCATTGTATGACAGTTCCATGCTATGTCAGTACCATATACAAATTCAAAAGAAAATAATGAAAAAGTTACTTGAAAACATGATTCCCAATTCAACTAAACTAAACCATATTCATCAATTTGTAGTTTAGCTACCCATCCATGCTGAATGGAGCCAAACCCAGCTTAACCAAACCCATGAAAACATGATACCTAATTACCTGGTTCACTTAATGCAGGACAAACAGCTTCTGTGATATGTAACTGAACCTCAAGGCCTAGTGGACTGCTTAACTCTGTCCTCTGCACTGTGATTTGAAACAAAATTTTGAGATTAACATAAGTCATGTACCACATAGAAGAAATTAGAAATGCCATAACACTAAACAGCAGTAAAGAAAGCAACCAACAACAAACAGCCCAATGTAACAGGGAAAAAAAATGAATAAAAAAAGCAAACCCAGAATCAGATTTGAAAATGAATGATTTGCATTACATAAGCTTCTCCTGATGTTCCTTCTAAGAAGCGTTCTCCACCAAAGAAAACTCGCTTTGCACCATCATCATCTCTGTGATTTGCTCCCCCTTGCACATCAGCAAACATATCTGGATGAGGCAGGAGATCAACAGATAAAGATTCCCATTCAAGTTTCCGGCAATAGAAGAATTTAGCATCATTAGATCAAGTAAATATCGATCTGAGAAGACAGCTTGGAAATGGGAGATTAGATTTGAATATGAAATAACTAAGTTACCTGCCAATTTTCATTAGTGGTGTAAAGTATAAGGCTCCGCATGGTCATAGAAGCCATAGGTGATGCCCTGAAATCATAATAAAAATAAGAACAGTATCCCTAGGTTGCTAGAAGGGATGCACATCCATAACATCTAGATGAAGAAGCAAATACACCTGCCATCTAAGCAGATTTCCCTCAGCAGTACACAACCAAATCAAGAATGAGAAGACACGAAACTTCTTTAAACCATCAGAAACAGAGCTTTAAATAAAAAGCATCTATAAACAATATAAAACAACCAATTAACAGATGGGAAAACATACAACCTTCAAAATTATCTTCATCTATGAACAATTGATGTTTGCTTACTTGAGATGAGATGACATCATGCAATTAGGCCTTACAATTATTTTTTTTTTTTATGCACAGGCCTTACAATTATTTGCAGATATGAACAGAAACTTCCAAAAGTCTAGGAATGGAGACAGCTGTGCCACATCAGTATTTAGAACACATTTTTCAATGAGTTTCTTAAGTCATATTAAATTCCAGTAGAATATAGCATTCTACGTGCTACAGTGATCACTTGCTATTTTAAAGGTAGTTTACGGTTTATATTTTTAAATTTTGATTTTAATACTTGTCATTAACATCTTTAATATATTAATTTTTAACCATTATCTTTATCAAAAAAAAATATTCTAATAAAATATAAAGTACTGATGTTGGTCATGAAAGGTGGTGAATGCAGTGTCTTAGTAAAATTATTATTTAAATAATTAATTATATAAAAATCAAATTTTATTTTATTCAATAGCAATTAATATTAAAAAATATACTTAATTTATACTCGATCTTTTCTTTGGAAAAGCAAACATGGACCTACTAATGAAAATTTAAAAAAAAAAATCTGGCTGGCAAAATTAAGTTTGATAATGGCGATCGCTAATCTCCGCAAAATTTGTTTATAGGTTTTTTTCATCTATGAGGTGTGTGAGTGCAGGTTCAGAATATATTTAATATATTTTTTTAATT